AAAAAAAAAAAAAAAAAAAAAAAAACACGTGGAAAGACGATGAGCAATGTGTAAATAAATGAACTTAGTCACAATTTTTTTCAAGGGTTCTTGATAACTCTAATTAAGTTGTTAGAACTAATCGAGGTCGGAACAATAACACACGAGGTAAACTAACAAAGTCAATGTCAAGCTGAAAGATCCTAGTTAACGCCTTTGTGAAATTAAGCGTGACATTTTAAAGTATGTCAAATGAATACACGACATGATCCTCCTCAAAATTATAGAACACGTGACATTATTCCACCTTCTATCGAGGTGTCACCATGTTGTCACTCGTATAAAAAAACTCCCAAATTAGTAACGTCAAAAGATCTGGTTTCTTTTTCGAATTATAAAATAAGTTTTTTTTTCCCGATATGTACTTCTCATCCTATTCATTTGTTTATTAAATTATTTTACTTTCTCCCTTTTTCTCAATCTTTAAGATCATGTTTTCTTTTATATTTTTCTGACTTAGACAAGAGCATTGCCTCTGGTTAAAAGAAATATTTTAATAATATTACGGTTACGATGTAGAATAACAAGTAGATAAGAAAAGAAGATAATTTGGTCCGTTTGATTGCAAGGATAGAAAATGGGTGAAAAGAAAATGTTTTACAGGGAAAAAATTTTCCTAAAAAATATTTTCCTGTGAATTGTAATTAATTGTGTTTGATTGGTATAATTTTCTACCTGAAAAATGTTGAAAGTTTGGTGTTCGTTTCACTTCATTGTTTTATAAAAATTGTCCATTAAAGTGATAATTTTTCTACCAATACGTCTAGAATTTGTTCTAATTACCAAAAAGTAGAAAAAAAAATTTAAACAATTAGAAAAAATTATCATATTCGTTTGACTTTATTTTACATAAAAATTGTCAACAAAAATGAAAATTATTTTTACAATAGTTGATAGAATTGGTTGCCATTGCTAAAAAAAAAAGAGGTGGAAAATGTTTTCCTACCTAATAGGTGAGAAAACAAAATCAAGTTTTTGTGCATAAAATGATTGTACCTAGAAAAATGTGGAAAACGTTTTCCATGGAAAAATTTACTTATCAACCAGCTTTTTAAGGGTGGAAAATGAAAATGTTTTCTTTTTCCATGGAAAACTAAGGCTATCAAACGGAGCCTTAATTCTAGTACGATGAAAAATGATACTTTTCATAATGCACCCGAGTAATTTTCTCAAAATTTTCCGTAACACTTGTCACAATTAACTTAATATATTACAAGAATGCAAATACTGTTTCAAAATATAATTAAGGATAGCAAAGACCGGAGATTAGGTTGGCCCTCCTATCCCATCTCATCAAAGAACTTGTGAGAGGCCGCGTGATTAAAATATCTTCATTCTTTTTCCGTTCACTTAAATTTTTTATATTTTTAATATGATTTAGATTTATAATTTATAAAAAAAAAAAAAAGATGAATGTACAGTCTTTTTACACATTAAGTTTGATAGCTCTCTCACATGGGTGTGGGGACAGCAATTGTGGACCCCACCCCCATGTGAGAGGACTGTCAAATTTAATATGTAAAAAGAGTGTAAGTGTAACATCAATCAAAAAAAATTAAGAAAAGAATCGGAACGGGACGAGAATGGGATTGGATGAGATGGGGGGCCCATTTAGTAGGGAAAAATGCTATTCATCTCTAGTGGGGATGCATCCCCAATTTATGTGAATGTAAATAATTGGTTAAATGATATATGAAATTAAATGACTTATTTAATTTCACCTATCATTTAATGTCACATTAAAGCCACATAAGTTGAGAATGCATCCTCAATGAGGATGAATAACATTTCTTTTTAACAGGGAACATCGCCAGGCATTTTGCCACATCTCTTTGAAGTTTGTACAATAATTTAAACCCCCAAAATCCCTATAATATTATAAAAATCCCCATACTCTCTCTTCTTTTCTTCTTTACCCCCTATATTTCCCATATATTGCAAATTTCCCCATACTCTTTTCTTTTTCCTCAAGCCACGTCTTCAGTCCACCTTGAAAAGCCTATTAAAACTCCCTCTCTCACTTAGATCTCTGGCTGGGTATTCGAAATTTTCAATTCATGTAATTCTTCCAATCGATGCCTCTATCTCTATATGTTGATATGTTTGCATTTATTATGTACTTGTAGCATGATTGATTATATTAAACCCCCCAAATCCCTATAATATTATAAAAACAACAATGCTGTTTGTACCAAGTTGCTTTACAAAGCCACTTCACAAAATGACGTGTACGGTCGTGATAATTTTCAAGTGGATGGCTGTGATTCTTTTATAGCATTGGGCGCCAAAATAATGGGAGGAGAGAAGGGAAAAAAATTAAAGTTGTCTGTATTCTTTAGAAACCCAAAATACCCTTACAATTCTTCTACAATTTCATCTTCTTCCTCGTTCAGCCCGATCCCTTGTCCCACCTCCCTAATTGTGCCCAAAAAAATCCCCTTTCCCACCCGTCCCCATCCAAAATCTCGAAAATTCCCGACTTTGTACCACAATCTCCATGACTATGAGGGAGCTTCGTGAACAGCGTGCCACCATTTTTCTGAAGAGTTTTTCACTTCTCAAGGTGCAATCGAAGTTTTTTTGTTGTTCTTCTCCTTGTGCTTTGCTCTCCACTACACGACTAGCTATCTTCCTCATTTTCGACATATTGTTGCTTGTCTGAAGTCGAACAAGGCTGTCTGCCCAACAACATCTGCCCCCAAGAACATACAGAATGTGGCACTTACAGTGTCGTTTCCATTAGTTCACTGGAAACCATTTCTTCATCACCATCAGAATGTGGCAACCTTAACTTTGTCCAAATGTCATTATTTTTCATTATCCATTATCTTCCATATTTCTTGAAAGGGCGAAGAACAATGGCGATCCACTAAAGGAGTGTAATCCAAAAGAACAAAATAAATTCCAATTAATCGGTCTATACTCATTGAAAAGCTCAAGCAATGACACAAGTCCACACACCTCAGTACTAGGACAGAGGACCAGATGTGAAAAGGTACAATTTGGTTGCTTGCCTTGCACAAGCCCGTTCATGGAACCATTAACAAAACTAGGCTTACTCACTTAAACAATACGAATTGTAGAATTTTTGATCGGCTGTAGGAGGTGGGGACGACGCCGGCAGTACGGGTGCTGCGGACCCTGACTAGCTGCCGGAGGTTTGTGATTTGGGAGGAAGGGTTTGGTCTCTGATTTGGGGGAAATGGGGGAGAGAGAGAGAGGGGAACGATGTTGGTTTTTCTTATTATTATTATTATTATTATTTAAGTCATGCCACGTCACTTTATCATTTAACTTTGTCAAAAGACTTTATACACCTAGCACGATTGTTATTATCATTATTTTTTTAAGTCATGCCACGTCACTTTGTCATCTAACTTTGTCAAAAGACTTTGTACACTTAGCACGATTGTTATAAAAATCCGCATACTCTCTCTTCTTTTCTTCTTTGCCCCCTATATTTCCCATATATTGCAAATTTCCCCATACTCTCTTTTCTTTTTCCTCAAGCCACGTCTTCAGTCCACCTTGAAAAGCCTATTAAACTCCCTCTCTCACTTAGATCTCTGGCTGGGTATTCGAAATTTTCAATTCATGTAATTCTTCCAATCGATGCCTCTATTTATATATGTTGATATGTTTGCATTTATGGGTTAAAAGTGATAATCTTAAATGGGTTTTGAATTTCATCCATCGAGAATCATATTAACGTTTTAACAATTTTGTCTAATTATTTATATTATTTTCTAGAGTAGATTTGGAAGAACAGTAAGTGAAGATGTCGAAGGCAGCAATAGAAATGCCTCCAAAGGGTGGGTTCAGCTTTGATTTATGCAAAAGGAATGAGATGCTTGCGGCAAAGGGTTTAAAGAAACCATCTTTTCTCAAGACCGGGACTACCATTGTGGGCTTAATTTTTAAGGTCACGGTCTTTTTCATTTTGAATTTTATTACAATTTCTTGATTGCTTTGTATTTTTGGGCTTATTTCATCTAATGGTTTGGATTATTTTGATTGATAAACATGGGTTGGTGATTAGGAGGTTATTAATTTTGGTTAAAGTTATGGACTTTTTGAAGGAGGTGCTGTGCTTGAGTTATTATTTCGAATTGTACTATTATTGCTTTGTTTGATTATACTTAATTTGCTTTAATTGTGTTCCTTTTGTTAAGTTCCTTGCTAATCAATTGCTTACTACTATGTTACCTTGAAGAAATGGAAAACTTTATGTACTTAAAAGTATTCAGATTTAACTGTTGTGAAATTATCTTCACAATAGTATGCGGGAAAACAATGTTTTATGAGGTTTAAGAACTCATCCTATTATGTTTAAAGATGAAAGTAAATTTCGACATTCTCTTATTGTTTGTCAAGTTGCCCTGTTTAATATGTGAGAATAGGCAACTATTGTAGAGTTGAAGGAAGGATGGCTAGAACTTACTGTGTATATCATAACTTTATGTCTTAAGCTTTTCTTGAGAGTTTTATGTGGTGGATTTACAAGGAGCTGCATCATATCATGGTTTTATCTCCCTATCTAAGAACTTAGGTCGATGCCTGTAAAAGTGCTTGTAGTGGACCTTTATGCTTGTTATGGTCAGTAGGATGTCAGGGGTATTGTTGTTCTTAGATGGCAGTAAAACTATAGTCTGAGATAATTAAAACTTAATTGATCTTCCTTTTTCCTCTCTCTCTCTCTCTCTCTCTCTCTCTCTCTCTCTCTCTTTTTTCCCCTCGTTAAAGCATTGGAGTTCATAAGTTATCCCTTATTGTGCAGTTTCAACGTTTCTTTTCTGTTTTATGTAATGTGGTGGAATGGATTGATAGCCATGTATGCTAATACAAATATATAATAGAGATTTCGTGGGGGTCTATAAGCCTTGTGGATGTTGACACTTAATGGGAATGAACTTGTCAAAAAGAAAAAGGACAGTGTGTGTGAACTTGGAAATTTTCATGATATAGAAAGGACATTGCAAAAACAAATGTCACAAAAAATTAAAATTGAAGTGAAATTTTGTACGCCATGGTCTTTCATTGATGGTAGTAATTAGGTATATCTATTAAGTTCCAGTTGAAGATTTTGATAGCGTTCTGAAACCAAGTATATTTCTGAATGTATAATATTGCATCTTTGTTGTTCCTGATGTAGAGAATTCTTGCATGGGGTCGATTAAAAAGGATGTATTGATGTTGAATTAACTCACACTTTTATATTGACTTGTGTGCTGCAGGATGGTGTTATTCTTGGAGCAGATACACGGGCCACTGCCGGGCCCATTGTTGCAGATAAGAATTGTGAAAAGATTCATTACATGGCCCCTAATATTTATTGCTGTGGAGCTGGTACTGCTGCTGATACAGAGGCAGTAACTGGTATTATTTACAACCTCTTAGTTCAATTTTATAGATACAAATTTGCATGGCTGATTTTTTATTTGAGAAAATGTCCAATTTCTTGATGGCATTGCTTTTACTAGACATGGTCAGTTCTCAGCTGAAGCTACACCGGTATCATACTGGTCGCGAGTCCAAAGTGGTTACAGCTCTTTCACTGTTGAAGTCTCATCTTTTTAGGTCAGCTTATGAGTACAGAACTTGTTTGGCTAATAGAGAAGATTGTGATTCTAAATGACCTTAACATTTTGTTTCTTAACCAGCTACCAAGGACATGTTTCAGCTGCTTTGGTGCTCGGTGGAGTTGATGTCACTGGCCCTCACTTGCACACCGTAAGTTACTTTCTACACACAGGATTTTACAATATATTGCTTTCTATATTTTTACATATAAGGTATAATATTATTAAATGACTTCCCAGATCTATCCGCATGGTTCGACAGACACATTGCCATTTGCTACAATGGGCTCTGGCTCTCTTGCTGCAATGGCTGTTTTTGAATCAAAATATCGTGAAGGGCTTAGCGTAAGTTCTTTTGTTCGCAGCATTGGATACTTTGAACCACCTTGTCTCGAAGTTTAAGGCTATTAAAGTGGACACATTTAATTAAATTTATTCTTCAACATGCCCCATTACATGCAAACTGGATTCATTTTTCATTAATTGTCTAATGCGTTCAAAATTTTTATAAATGGGTGGCAACAAAACTTGATCCAAGAGTTTTGTTACATGGATACCATGTTAAACCATCTTGTCTAAACGCTTAAATGGTTAGAGAAGCTACACATTTATTTAGCCTATGTTTGGCCCATTTTTTCAAAATTCATTTTCGACGACACATTCTTCCATAAAATAATATTACACGTAAATCGAAAACTTTTCCTTATTTTCTAATCACACATTTTCCCAAAAAAATCACTATTTTAAAACTCATTTTCTCCCAAATTTCCGCTAAAATGGAGCCCAAACGAGGACTTAGTTGAACTTAGTCTTTAATACTTATAAATACAAATTCTTCATGTTGATTGAATAAATGATTTTATAGAGGGACGACGGGATAAAATTAGTAGCTGAGGCCATCTCCTCAGGCATATTCAATGACTTGGGAAGTGGAAGCAATGTTGATATCTGTGTAATAACAAAGGTTTGTCTTTGTAATCCTCGGTAATGTTCACCTATTATATCTAAGATGCCGTGATTTAAAGAATCTTGTTGATGCTTTGTTTTTCAGGGTAATCAAGAGTACCTAAGAAACCATTTGTTGCCAAATCCTCGTACTTATATCAGCGAACAGGGTTATTCATTTTCAAAAAAGACCGGTTATTATCTTCATTTCCTACTCATTCTTGGGGGAAAAAAAAATACACCCTTGATATTGCTTTTCGCAAAGTGGTATACTTATTATAGGTTCGTTTACGAGGTTGCTGATATTTGTTGTACTTGCAGAGGTGTTGATGACAAAGATTACACCACTCAAAGAGATTGTTGAAGTGATTGAAGGAGGAGATGCAATGGAAGAATGAGGTATTGTGGTTAAAATGTGCCCCGAAGTTATTTCTTCGAAAACGTCTCATTATCAACTTCACCATCGCGTGTCCCATTTTGTACGAACGGTTGACGACCTTGAATATGCTAAGAGAAATCGGTTATCTTATGTATATTGTGACTATTGTTAGACTGGATATTCCGTTTTCTTTTTTTATCCGTATCGAATTTTGTTTTCCCTTTTTTTTTGAGTAATCAGTATGTTAAAGATTATAATCCTCTTTACCCCTATCTCATTAGAATGGGACGGAATTATATTAGTGGAATTCTTTTTGTTATTTTATAATATTGTTTAGTTAATGTTAATTAATCTCTTTTTTTTGGTTCCTATTATTTTTAAAATATATTTCCTTCTCTCTTATTTTCAATCACATATTTTTCAATAAAATAATATTACACACATATATAAAATATTTTTTTATTTTTTAACCAATTTTTTTCATCAAAATGCTATTTTAAAATGCATTATTTCCAACAAAAAAAGGCACTCAAATATGCTCTGAGTTAAAACATCACAACAACACGATGTCAGAATATTAATCAATTATGTTGAAAAATAAAATCATAAAATTCTAAAAATAAAATAAAAATTTTAAAAATAAGAAAAAAAAAAAGTAGTTAAATCTCTATTGATTTTTTAAACAAAATTCTCAGAATAATATATGTAAATAAACAACGATAAAAATTATAAAAAAAATTCATGTCGTTAATTTTTATTTTTTATTTCCTATGTTTTGTGCGCTTAATTTATTATTTGTTTTATTTTACTTTTGTAATAAAGTAAAATTATAAAATACATCAATTTTAAAATGTATATATTACTTGATAATATATTAACATAAAATTATTTTATTAAGTAATCTAATTTCATGGATAAAATGTTAAAAAATAATTTCTCAAAGTTTCAAACTAAACGTGTTTTTCAATTTTACGATTTTTTAGAATGACGAAAAAACACGTTTTTAATAATTTTAAAATAAACTCTCAAAATAAAAAAACTGAAAATAAAGTCAAAACTCAAAACGGAAATGCAAATCAAGCTTATATTTGGCCCCCCATTTTTTCAAAAATTCATTTTCAGTAACACATTTTCTTATAAAATAATTTTACACATGAATTGAAATTTTTTATTTTTACTTTTTTATCACATATTTCTAAAAAAATTACGGTTCCAAAACACATTTTCTTTTGAAAATGGGGCTCAAACAGGGGTCAAATGAGCCCTAAATATTGTCTGGACCAAAAATTAAATAAAATAAAGCTGGGGGACTGGTTGGTGGCAAATTGTGATTGTTTCTTTCTTTTATTTTTTCCTGTATTCCAATTCCTCTTTTGGTTCGAAGTTTGGACTCCTAAGAGGTACACGGTACGATCTCCAACTCCAACTCTACCCCCATAATTTTACTTCTTATCTCATAATCCTTCAATCAATTATTGAATATTAGTTTTGTGGGTTTTAATCACTATTCTCGTAATCGTACTTTCTGAGCTACTATAAACAAAACCAATCAAAAAACCCCCCAATGCATAATCGTATTGTCCCCCTTTTGTTTCCATAATTCTTGAATTGTTGGTTTAGAGTTGCAAAAAAGGATCTTTATAACGAAAACTTTGTATTGTGTGAGAATTTGAGGGTGTATATATATAATATTTAATTAATGGCGAGTGCGGATGAGGATGATGCTGTTTTGAGCGATGTTGAGGCCGATGATCCGGTGCCTATTGATATAAAAATCCCTTCGCCGGAAGCTGTTTCGGTGGAGAGATTCCAGGACGTTCTTGCGGAGCTTGACCGCGAGAGGCAAGCCCGTCAGGCTGTGGAGAACTCCAAGAATGACCTGCAGGTTCAGTTTAATAGGCTTAAAGTTCTTTGCCACGAGGCGATCAAGAAGCGGGATGAGAGCTCGAGACAGCGTGATGAGGCATTGAGGGATAAGGAGGAGATGTTGGGGAAATTGGAGAAGGTTTCTGGGGAATTAAGTGAGGAAATCAAGTTGAAAGATGAGGCCCTGAGACAAAAGAGCGAGGTTTTACTACAGTTAGAGGAGTTGGGGAAAGCAAAGGAGTTGTCCCGCGTGGAAATGGAGACAGGGTCATCAATGTTAGTTAGTGGAATTGAGAAGATATCGAAGAAAGTTAGTAGCTATAAGGATTTTGGAGTAAATGGATTGCCAAGGTCAAATAAGTACACAGGACTGCCATCAGTGGCATATGGTGTAATTAAGAGGACGAATGAGATCGTAGAAGTGCTTTTGAAGCAGAATGAGTTGAATGTGAAGTCAAGGAATGAGGCTAGGGAGTTAATGGAGCAGAGGAATTATGAGATTGCCATTGAAATTTCTCAGCTCGAGGCAACCATTAGTGGGTTGAAAGAGGAGGTGGGGAACAAAATTGAGGAAATTGAGAGCTTGAAGAAGTCTGTGGATGAGAAAAAGGGGCAAGTAGCTGAATTGGAAAGTGAGTTTTTTGAGAAGCAGGAGGCATTGGATAGTGAAGTGTCGAGGTTGAGGCTTTTGGTGAGCGAGTACAAGTCGAAGATTGAGTCACAAAGGCCGTTGTTGGCGGATCAATTGAATTATGTATCAAGAATTCATGAAAAGATGTTTGAAATTATGAAGATTGTTGATGCTAATAAATCCCCGGAGTTGTCCGAATCGTTATTCCTCGCACAAGAAACAGATTTAGAGGAAAATATTAGGGCATCTTTGGCAGGAATCGAGTCTATATATGAATTGAGTAAAATTGTTGTTGAGAAAACAAGGGATTTGATGGAGCAGAGGAGTTGTGAAGTGAAAAGTCTAAATGAGACGGTTTCTCAATTAGTTAAGGAGAAAGAACAAATTGGCTCTTTATTGAGAAGTGCTTTGTCAAGAAGAACGTCAGTGGACTTGTCATCAAAAACAAATGAATTGTTTAAAGTTGCAGAGAATGGATTACGAGAGGCTGGGATAGATTATAACTTCAGCAAACATCTTGGAGAGAGGAAGTTTCAAGATTCTAAAGATATATCGGGTGTTGGGGAAACGGAAGAAGATGAAGTTTATGCTCTTGTAAGTATGTTTTATAGTGTTAGTTTCGTGATGAACTCTCATTCTTCTTTTTCCCCTTATTAATCACCATTCTTAATGCAGGCTAGTGCACTGGAGGATATCATCAAACAATCTCAGCTTGAGATCATTGAGCTAAAGCATTCCGTGGAGGAACTCAGGTAACCTACTTTAGATATTTGTTATTATCAATTCCTCCTTTCTCAGATGATTGAGTAAAATAGGACATAATGCACTGATCATTAATAGAGAGTAAAATAAATTATAAATGTATCGAGATACTTTCTAAGAATGTACATGACATAGAATGAAATTTGTGATACATATACCTTGTTTATCTATATCATCTAAAAACACGCAAACATTCGGCATGTACATATGATGCACAGAACAATTTCATTCTAATTTGAACATTTCTAAAAATGTGATCGCTAATGCCATTATGTTCATCTAATATCAACAGTAGCCAAACTAACACTTGGTAATTTGTGCTATAATCAATTCCAAAAGCTGTGATATTACTGATATAGTAATGTTTTTCTCATCTCAAATGTAGGCAAACAATTATTGACATCTTGATTTTTCGATAATAACATACAATATTTTAAAATGGTCCACGTTGATTTGTTATGCACAAGGAATTTGTTTAAACGAGAAAAACATTGACCTGAGCTATTGTAACATGGGAAATTTTCATGCTACAATATAATATTGGATCTTAAATTTGTTAGTTATTTTTGCAAAGATATTCTAGGATCTCTAACGTTTTCTTTGGACCTTATTTTCTCATATTTCCATTTAGTGAATTTCTTGGTTGATGAGTTTAAGAGCTTATAGATATCGAATTTTCTCATTTATGTATTTGGTTTTTCTTACTGTAATTAAGATTTATATTTTGTCTTTTAATTTCTTTCTAGAAGTTTGAGCTCCTCTATACAACCCCTCCGGTTAATTCCCCAAATGGTCACTGAACTTTTCTTAAAATTTCTACGCTGTCATTGAACTTAAAAACTGCCCCCGTTAGTCACTTAATTTTGAAAATTGGTACCTTATGCATCACTTCGTAAATGACACTTGCAAAATTGGAAGAATTTGATGACGTGTCTAACAATATGGCTTACATGGCACATCATTGTAATAAAAAGATGTCAAATTACAAAGGTGCATCCAAAGTGGACAAGTTGTTGTTGCCCAAATCAACTTCTCCACTTAGGATGCAGCTTTGTAATTTGGGCAATAGCAACTTGTCCATTTAGGATTCACCTTTATGATTTGGCATCTTTTTATTACAATGACGTGCCAAATAAGACACGTCATCAAATCTTTCCAGTTTTGCAAGTGCCGTTTACGTAGTGATGTATGGGGTACCAATTTTCAAAGTTAAATGACTAATGGGGGTAGTTTTTAAGTTCAGTGATCCCGTGGGAACTTTGAGGAAAGTTCAGTGACCATTTAGGGAATTAACCCGGTTTTCTCCTTAATTTTCCTTCGAAAACTTTGAAGTTGACATGAAATACATTTTATACTTCTTGGCTCTTTCACTTCTGACTGCATCAATATTAGCTATAAAAAACGGTATTTAGGAATTTTTCTTTACAACTTGATGAACTCGTAAACAAGTAAGAATCATTAGTTTATGATGAGACTCTAGACGGGAAAACACAAGAAGGCAGACTTGCAACTTTTGAGTGCAATGTAGGATTGTTCTGTATACCGGGTGTTCTCAAACTAATATTGACTTTTATTTTAAAAAAATTGTGTAAATTGAGACTTTCCACCTGTTTAAGAAGTGTATCAGACTATCAGGTGGAAAACAAGTTTTTGAACTCGAATTCCTCTCTGGTCTTTTTTACTTTTGATGAAGATTCTACACAGTTTTGGACTAGGTTCCTAACAGTAGTATGGCTACTGAAGAAAATAACTATATATCTAGCCTTATACCAGCCATAATTTTTCTGAAGTCATTGAAAAATAATCTCTATTGTTTGATGCTTGTCCAAATTCCTTAGGATCTGCGGCTGAGTTTTCTGCCTTTGATCTGTTAAGTACTCAGATAATTTTCAGATTTGCAATGTTAGTGGGATATAGAAAAGATCCTATTTGGAAATTTTTCAGCGCACATAAACCTTCTGCAAGGAATGAATTTCAAAAGCAAATTCATACAGCCAATTTTTTTACAGGTGAAATTTCGCGTTGATCGTTTAGTGGGAAGCTTAGTACGAGTTCTTCTCCAACACAAGGAATTTAGATGCAAGAAGTACTTGTTTAAATGGGAAAAATAAATAAATAGGAGCTATTGTGGCACAATTGTTCATTACTTAGTAGACAAGTTTGGAACTTGTGATTAGGAGAATCAAAATATTGCTTTTGCGAATTATATATTCAGTTTTCCAAACCTTGATTATTAATAAACAAACCTTTAACTTCTCCGTTCTTTAAAAAAAAAAAATGGTTTTGATGAATTAGTCTTTTTTAATGGCTTATTCCCCTTGGTGTTCATGTAAACTAAGCGCTTGTTTGAGCTCCATTTTTGGCTAAGAATGTATTTAGGAATAGTAGATTGATGGAGAATGTGTGATTAAAAAAATAAGGAATTCTTTTTTAAGTTTGCGTGTAAGATTATTTTATTGAAGAATGTGTGGTTGAAAAGAAGTGAGAGAAAAATGTATTTTGGAAATAATGGGATCAAACAAGGGCTAAGCAATCGACATGGATTGAAGCCAATTTTCCTATCATCATGCTTTTTCCTGCATCAATTAGCCTTAATTTAATCGACTATTTATTTGTATGATAAGATATGAATGAATATCAACGATGGTGATTTTGTTGATTTACTTCGTTTCTTTTTGTTATAGTATTTTCTAACTGTCAATATGTCTACGTACTAATTTAAGGGCAGAGTCAAGTTTATTCAAGGAGCATGTGGACGCTCTATCCAAGGAGCTCAACAAGTGGAAACAACGTGTGGAAGAGCTTGAAGAAAAGGAGAAAGTGGCAAACGAAAATGTAAGTTATCATTATTTGGTCCTTAAATGATATCAACAATATTAAAATTCCAATATTTGATTTTCTTTATCTCCTGACGATTGTTTGACAATGCACAGGACTCAAGATGTCTTCCTTGTCCTTTATGCATGCACCATTCTCAATTCTGATATTTGAAAAATCTTAACTAGGTTGAAGGTCTTATGATGGATATTGCAGCTGCTGAAGAAGAAATCACACGGTGGAAGATGGCAGCTCAACAAGAAGCTGCCGCAGGGAAAGCAATCGAACAAGAGTATGTTGCACAGGTATGTTAAGAAATGGCGATTCTGCTTTTCTGATTTCTCATCCGTGGTTTTTGTGAACTTGATGGGGTTTATGATGCCTCGTGCTTACAGTGAATGAAATCTTGAATGAACTTTCGGGGCCCAAAGATAAGCTAGAATAATTTTGTTTTGGTTTCAGCAAGCAAAATTTTTTAGTGCATGTTTAGCAAAGCTTATAATTTTTTGAAGCCAGTAAAACGTACTTTTTATCCACACATTTAACAACTTACTACCCACTTATTATCCACACATTCCATATGACCCACAACTTATAAGTACTACCAAACAAGCACTTAATGCAGTCTCCAAATTGTAGCTTCTCCGTTATGACCATATTTATTAAGCCACAGTTTCTGAAGAGTTCTACGTAATGAGAAGTTCTTACTGAACTTCTTTGCTCCATCTTTTATCATTCATGTTCTCAGCCATGATTCCAGAGTCGTAAAAGTTACTTTAAGAATGGAAAAATAAGACTTAATCTTGTCCTATCAAAAAATAAGACTTAATCTTGTGCATGTGCTTCTGCAGTTGGAAGCTGTGCGCCAGGAACTCGAGGAGGCAAAAACAGCTGTAATTGAATGGGAGAAAAAGCTGAAATTCAAAGAAGAAACAGCAGCAGCAGCCATGGCAGCAAGAGATGCTGCTGAGCAATCATTAAAATTGGCAGATATGAGGGCTTCTAGGCTGAGAGACAGAGTCGAAGAGCTGACTCATCAACTGGAAGAGCTAGACTCCCAAGAAACCTCAAGAATGGGCCTAACTCGACCGAGATATGTATGTTGGCCATGGCAATGGCTCGGCTTGGATTTTGTCGGCTCACGTCCTTCTGCAACACCACACCAAAGTGCAAATGAAATGGAACTTTCTGAACCCCTTCTTTGATTATCTGTCTCTTAATGTTTTTTCCTTCCTTTCTCTTTGTATTTTTTGTGAAACTTGAGAATTGATACAGTTTAGTGTGTTAGCATATTTGTTCTCCAAATGTTGTTAGGTATTAGTTGTACTTTACTACAAACCATGACAAATGAAAATTTCTTGATTCAAGGTACAATACAGAGGCAGATTAAAGGGTTGTTTGTATGCAAGTGTATCTATTTTCTGAAGATTATTCTACAAGTCTTTTTAACTTTTAGAATAATTCTTCGCTTAATTTATTTCTCGCCAATCTTTTTTGACTTATAATTAATGAGTGAAACTGTCTTATATGATGGGTTCATCTCAATTTCCTATGAACCTGGCTCCAAGTGGGTGGGGGTGGGGGCAGGGTACAAGTTGAATTGTGGGCAAGTGTAAGCCCACTTCTTCTTGTCCATGGAAAATAAAAAGTACAGCCATTAATGTCCAATTTACAACCACGGTCTGTTCAAATAAGGATTGTTGATGTTGAAATCCATGTGAGAAGTTCCTTTTTGAGTGCGGATCGAACATTTGCAAAATATTTGGACTAGTCAACTTGTTCAGTTACTATACAATAGAAAAGGTACTTAAATAAACTTTAATAATATCACGGGATTTAGCCTTTATTGTATAAGATTTTGGACTTTTAAGTCCACGACCATTTTGTCTCTACAGTATGTCGATTAGCTAAATATCAAATTGTATTCTCGATTAAACTCAGCTCAATTGAACTAACCAAGGTTAGAAACTCATTTTTGATCCCCCCAAACTTGGCAACGTATCTTCCTTTGCTATCAAGTACTTATTTGATTTGATTTTTTTAAAACTCGTTTTTCAATTACAAATTCTCTCAATAAAATAATTTTACACGCGGATCTATAAAATTTTTCTATTTTTAACTACATATTTTATTTAAAATAAATATTTTTCACAAAAATTCACTTCTCAAAAATCAATATCAAACGAGGACTAAAATTCTTAAACTCTACATTGCAAAAATAAATAGCAAGAAATTACCAAATATGCTAATTTTCCATTTTGTTGAGTTTCTTTTTGACTTGAAAGCCTCTAATATTGATTTGATGTCATTTTTTAATAATATTTTTCTCATTTTGAGCCACCATCTTGGAGTGGAAAAGATATATTTAAAATGAGTTAAAAGATTGAAGGTCACCCAACTTTGAGTAAAATTTCATTTTAACCATTCAAATAACTTTTTATCCAAAATCATCATAAGGTCACAAAATTTAACTTCCTTCGAATCCTTTCCTCATGGAAGACATACTTGCTTTTGTCGACTCCTCCTGGTGACAGTAATTTTGTTCGAGAACAATTCAGATTCCAACTTTTTAACGCTAAGATAGTGTTCTTAAAGACAATTATTGCTAATTTGGACTTTTAAACAGTTGAGTTAACATTTATATGGTCTATGTAAGAAAATTCGTCCGTCGCATAAAAAGAAACACTAAATTTTGTGACAATATCGTTTAAATCAAAAGAAAATGCATAACTAAAATGAAACTTCTCATAATTGGGTGACCTCTCCGAGTCTCCAGCATATTTTAGACACATAATTAAAATTTAATAAAACCCTTCTTGAATCTTAATGCGTCATCCCATAATGACGTGGCAAGTTTGACCAATTCTTGTTTCACATCTATGAAATTGCCAACCTGTCCTTTTCACTTTTTTCTGGCTTACCTGCGAGGCTACGTCTCTCTCTCTCTCAAACATTCATATGAACCCTTTGAACGTGTATTCTGTTGTATGTATTGATCATTCATACATGATCACAAGAATAATCAAATGACTGCTGCAATTGCCCAACAAACAATAAACGATTTCGTGTTAGTATTTCTTTTTTCTGTCATTGAAAATGTTGGAAAGTATTATATGGTTGAATTGAATTTCCCATGCACTTTTTCTATTATTCTTGCTTCTATATGTGGAAAATATGTCCCCATGATAATATCTATGTTTTTATGGGAGTTTACTCAGTCGTATTTGCGTTTTATTTCTTATTTTCTTTATGTAAAGGGAGGATTTTTGACAGGCGACGGTCAAGTTTTAGGTAGGAATATAGCAGCAATTTTTGAATTGTAATTATACATTTGATTGTTTCCTTTAGCTTTCCTTGAAGAATCCTTATGTGGGTATCTTTGAATTGTGAATTTTCTTTGAAACTTTTTTAGCTTCGATATTTATTGTTTAGAATTTTGATGTTTTGGGATTTTTCTGAAAAGGGTTATTATTTAGGTTCTGAAATTTCAGCTAAAGTTTCTCGTTTTGATATGAATTTTTACTTGATGTTTGATATGGGGTTTATTGGAAAAATCCTTAAATGGGTTTAATTGGTTTTACAGTGTGGGAGTTTAACTTTTGAAATGTTTAAGGAAGAGAATAAGGATGAGCCATCTATCGGTAATAGGAAAACATACTCACGATCGGTTTCGTGGAGTGATCGATCACCAAGAAAGCCGAATTATAGGCCACAATGGAACAGCAAGGCTCGGGCTTGTTTGCCGCCCCTTCATCCTCTGTCAATCACAAGACCGAGCATTGAGGAATGGCCAAGAGCTGGCTCAGACGACCTTGGCATATGGCCAAATCCCTCAACTCCCGGTGCAAGGCTTGGATCGATGACATCCCGTGAAAATATGAGTTTGGATCAACCTCCTAGAGAATTTGAATTCAAGAAAGACAAGCTCGCTTTCTTTAATAAGGAATGCTCAAGGATTTTGGACCATATATATCTGGGAAGCGATGCTATTGCAAAGAGTCGTGAAATTCTCCAGCAGAATGGAATTACCCATGTGTTGAACTGTGTGGGGTTTGTTTGTCCTGAATATTTCAAGAATGAGCTCGTGTACAAGACACTTTGGCTCCGTGACAGCCCATCAGAGGATATTACAAGTATTCTGTATGATGTGTTCGATTATTTTGAAGATGTTCGAGAACAAGGTGGTCGTGTTCTTGTTCATTGTTGCCAGGGGGTGTCTCGATCAACCTCTTTGGTCATTGCGTATCTTATGTGGAAAGAGGGACAGAGCTTTGAGGATGCATTCCAGCATGTTAAAGCAGCCCGAGGAGTGACTAACCCGAATTTGGGATTTGCTTGCCAACTTTTGCTGTGCCAGAAACGAGTACATGCTCAGCCTGCAAGCCCCACTTCTGTACTTAGGATGTATCGAATGGCGCCCCACTCCCCGTACGATCCCCTTCATCTTGTGCCAAAAATGTTGATTGATCCGGGTGTAAACAAACTCGATTCTCGTGGGGCATTCATTATTCAGATTCCTTCTGCTATATTTGTCTGGACAGGAAAGCATTGCTTCTCAGTGATATCGGATAATGCCTCTGCAGCTGCCTCTCAAGTTATTCATTATGAAAGGGCCCAGGGTCCCATAAAAACCATAAAAGAAGGTGAGGAGACGTCTGAATTGTGGGATGCTCTCGGCTATGAGAAACAGTTAGTGGATGAGTCATCTCCCAGGGCTGACACTCTTGCTTCTTCCTCTCATCAATGTAATGGTAAGAGGAAGGTCGATGAATATGATGTCGATTTTGAGATATTCCAGAAAGCACTTTCCGGTGGGGTTGTTCCACCTTTTCCATTATCGGGGACCGAATCTGAGACATGTCTTCCTGCTAGAGAAAATGGCTGGAGCAGATTGAGAAGGAAATTTGCTAGTGGTATCGTAAAAGAATTAATAACCTCATCTAGATTGAACAACAACATGACCCAAACACGTGATAACCTGGATACGATAGAATCTTGTAAAGAAGTCGAAGCCTTTGTCCCTTCTTCTGATCTTTTAATGCCTCCCAGTCCTCAGTGTGATTCACCGGATTCCTTTGCTTCTTATGCAACCAGTAGCCCGGGATGGATGAAAACTAGGTTTAAAGAAGTGGAATTTTCGGCTCGTCCTACTGTTACGTCTTTGTCACCATCTCCTTCATTCAGTTCACTGGATTCTTTTTCTTCATTTCTTGTCAATAAACCAAAGTCCAGTTCAACATCTCCATCGCTCTCACCTTCGACCTCTGAATATTCAAGTTCATTTACCTTCTCACCCTCATCATCTAACTGGTCTGACTTATCGTATTTCTCGACTCTGCCATCACCTTCGGGACTTGAATATAAAAATCACGATCTTGATAAGGGTGGTTCTGCGGAGGAAAGTGAATGTTTACTTCATAAAGCAACTTCCCCTCCACCGGAAGAGGCATTTTTGGCTGGTTGCACTTCGAGAGCAACAGGCAGTTGTTCCTCTTGTAAAGAACCTTTTCTATCCCTTGCAGAACGTAGATGGAACATTCGTCCTCCTCGCATGATGTTGCCCGCTGTTGATGAGGTATCTCTGATTCCAGAAAACTCGTCAAAATCGCTTCCTTGCATAGAAGATGATATAATGAGTGACATTGAATGTAGCAGCTCGAGACATGAGGTTTCTTTTGAGATGGACAGAGAAGAACCAATGCCAGATTCTAACGACTATGCTGCTGACAATGATCTCCTAAGTCGATTACCAGATGATAAGGAGTGCAATACGTTTGATCTGATGTCGAATGATATGACTAATAGAATAGCAAAACCAACTGACTCATTATTCTACCAGTGGCCTTCGATGAATAAAATGGACACACCTTTTGTCTTCCTAGATTCTAGATCCATTTACATCATTCTTGTGTCCTCAGTGAGTTTTGAGGGAAATAATGCCGATATTTTATACATATGGATGGGACGTGAAGTATCATGGAATGGAGGACATGATCAGTTGATGGATAATGACAGCAAATGCAAAAATATTCCTGCCCATTTGGAGAATGTTGGTCGAAGTTTTCTTGCTGAGAAGGGTTTCAGCACAAATGCTCAAATTAAGGTATGTGTGCGACCTATATAGTTAACTGATACTTTATACAGATGATTTTTTTGCAGTCATATTTGAGGTTAGATATCAGCTGTATTTGTGAGACTTGTACTATTGGGTTTGTAATTGCATTATTGTTAGAAAGTAGTGCATACTGAGTTTGAATAACACGAGGAGATGGAAATATGTAAGGCATTAGGTTAAAATAAGAACTTCAGATTATAAGCTTGAAGCAGCAGCAACTAAAATTGTTTAACAAACAATCACTTTATGACATGTTTGGTAAGTGGATTGGGTAGCACTGGACATTAGTAAGAAAGAAAAAGAACAAGGCCTGTTTGGGAGGGATTAGATTTTTCTATAGTAAATCAATTCTCATTTTCAACCACACATTCTTCAATAAAATAATATTTTCCATCACATCAATAATTTTTTCTTCTTTTTCAACCACACATTTCCCATCATATCATTATTCAAAATTAATTTCAATAAAATAATATTTTCCATCACATCAATAATTTTTTCTTCTTTTTCAACCACACAATTCCCATCATATCACTATTTAAAATCAATTCTTCCCCCAAAAAATCTCTACCAAACAAGCTCCAAATCTTATCTATTGCATAATCTAGTCTTGAACTGTATTATGTGCCAAACATACCTTAAGGATGTTAAAGGTAAATCCCATATCAATTAAGTATTGAAACTATAACCAACAAATAAAGGCTTAAACTACTCCTCTTAATAAGATTGATGTTTTAAGATAGAATTTTAAATCTTAATAGATACTAATAAGCTCAAATGAGCAATTCAATGCGATTATGACTTAAATGAGCACACTGATCTCAAGATTTGGGTTCTCAAATGAGTCATTATCTTGTGGGGATATGTTAAGGATAAATCCCTCATCAATTAAATATCGAAACTATAACTAACATATAAATGTTTAAGTTACTCCTCTTAATAAGATTAATATTTTAAGATGGAATTCCAAACTTAATAAATGGTTGCATTGTGTATATCTATGATGTACGAACACGGGCGTCCGACACGTATACGCTGACACACAATTTTTCAAAAGAGTACGACATGACACGTCACCGATCGCTGATTAAATTCTTTAAAATTCTTTATTTATATAGTATAAATTTAGTTTTATACTTGTTATTAATTTTTCTTGTTGAAATCTTTTAAATATGAGTACCTATTTATTATTTACTAATAACTTTGAGTTAAAAATATATAATATTTTTAATAAAAAAATGAAAAAATGTTTATGGTAGAATGTATGAGGAGTGAAAGTATCAACACGTGTCGGGACGCACACACGCTACCCTAGTTAAAGTATCCGTATTACAGAGGTGTATATGCATACGTGTACCTATATCTAGTAATCAATATATTAGTATTTTCATTATCCGAGATGTGGCTCATTTTCTTCTTACCTTGCATTTATCAAACCATCTAGATTTAGTTAATATTTTGCTTGTTATATCATGAATGGTGGTATAACCTGTTTAATCTTTTATAGTTGAGCATTTAAGGGTTGCGATTCTTCTTGTCATATTTTGGGTTCTCTTTTTATATGATCCTCTCAATTTCAAATTTGCAGTGGATAAACTCGTATTTACTTGTGTTTTTGGAATTTCAGATAGTCAAGGAAGATGAGGAACCAGCGCAGCTCCTCCAGCATCTTTCCTCATTAAGGACGGACTTGAACAGTGGATTAGGTAAATCTTATTTGTGTCTGAAACACTAATGAAGAGAATTGGCATCCCATAGCTGAATGACTGCGGGTTCTGCTTGTGAGATGTGAGCAAACTTTATTTTTAATCCAAGACGAGCATGTACAGGGAATAAGTTTCTGAATACTAAAGGTAGGAATCATCAGTACAGAATCCCCTCAAATAAGTGTAGAATTCCCCCTCAATATTGTGCCTCAGAATATTTCTACATTCAGCACCTAAGCTGTTGCTTTTTAATATAAATACATAGAGCGTTAGAAGACTCCTAGATTTACTAGTTTGTTACATGCGAACATATTTTTCCATTTTGAGAAAAAGAAATATTAGACTTCCCATTCCATTAAATGGTGGAGAAAAACTTATATTCCTAATATTCTATCATGGTTAAAAACATAAGAATGATTAAGTGGCTGTAGCTGAAGGTGAATCACTATAAACCTGTGTAGTTGAGCATTGCATTTCTAATTTTTGTTGCTCTAAAACATAAGATTAATGGTGGTAGGTCATGGTTTTCTTGTGCAATTTGTGTATTATTAACATGCAAATCCATCAAAGTTTAAAGCATGAGAAACTGCATAGAAAAGTTTTGGACATCCGTGCTCAATTTTATACAAGTTTAATCACCTCTTCCATACAAGGTTAAACTAACAACAGTAAATAAAACTGAGATGTCTAAAAATGTGGCACACGAGGTAAGATTAGATGAAGATCCTGTGTACAACATTGTGACTTCATCCTGTGTACAACATTGTGAGCGTATTGTCATTTCTACTGCAGGTTTAAAAAAGCACTAGGTAGAACATAGAATTTGTACACGATGAAAACCTTGAACTAGTTCCCATTCTTCCATCTAGACATAGTCGAGCCATGTGCACCTCCTCTCGAACTTTTAAATGACCATGGTTTTCGGACTGCATTCTGCTTGCCCCAACAATTTTTCCCTGGTGGCTGTACCTTCTTGGCATTATTGCCCCCAAATGTTTTCGTGCTGAGGTTGTACTGTCTTGGTATTTTTCCTCGGCTATTTTCATGCTGTGGTTGTACCATATTGGCATTTTTGTCCCAGCCATATACCTGCGGAAGTTGTACCTTGGCACTCTTGCCCCAACTATTTTCCTCTGATAATTGTTCCTCTGCAGTTAAAAGTTTCAGTCAAGAAAAGGTCCCCAAGTGCTTACACCACTGCTCTCTACAATTATATAAACCATTATCAAGTTGTCTGAATAGATCATGTCAAATTTTAGGCATTAGGCAAAAGAACAAGTTGCAGGAGATTGTGTTGGTTTACCATCGTTAGCTTCTTCGATCTCTTAAAATGGAACGATGTCAGGATGAAAGGCAGTAAATTATTCTTGCTTTTAAGAAGATTTATAAGATCACTTATGAATTTCAAGTGTTTTTGTGGATAAATATAAATACCTTGGCTGGAGACAACTGTTTGTTTATCATTAGTGCTCGACCATACAGTTACTGGAGAATTTTCATTGCCCACGGGACTTCCATTTGCCCAGCTAGGGGCTACATTTATTGGTCCTGAACTGCCACCTTTTACTATACGGACATCAACAAGTGAATACAAATCAATCTGCTCAAGATAAACTGCAGTAGAAAAAAAAATAATAATTCCAAGATGCCTTTTGCTCTCAACGGAAGAAGCCTTAAGAAGAATAACACTCGAAAAGGATTACGATTTGATTAGCTTATCTCGATCAATTCATCTTCTCGGAAACAACTGGGTATTCTGAGACAAGTATCGGCACAATTTGAGCGGATCCAGGATTACAACATGACACTTTTAAGAGGAAAATTGTCAAAAAGCAATTATTGTTGTCCGCTGGTAGCTAAATTTTTGCTCCAAATCTTATTAGAATCATGTTATATTCGATAGGGTGAATGCTTAGGGGTCGAGGATGATGATACCTCTAGAGTTTGATATGCAATCACATCCCCTTCCTACAAAATGAATAAGAAGATAATTGACACTGATGACTGATGAGTTACACAAGTTTTTTCCTCGTTCAACATGCATCATAAGCTTCACATGATGGTCTGAAAATCAGAAATATGTCAATAGTTGATCAATCTAAAGTGATGGCGGTAAATCGTGAAAGTGTGTAAGAAGAATATACCTTGGGCATCCTATGAAGAGGCTGAAGGTTATCAAAGTCAATTCCCATATATGACAGTCTCTTTTCCATTATTCAGTGTTTCAGAACACTTTGTTTGAATCTTTACTATCATTTCTTTGAGAAAATGAACATTTTGTGGTAACCCATTTTTGGCCT